ATGTATTTGGTCGCGTCGTAATTGCGCGTTCCGGCATATTTTTAAACTCTGGCTAAAGTTACCTGGGACACCCTGCATATAGGAAACTCTATGGTTATGTACCGTACCCTTTCACTAAAGGTACATCTCGTATTTCAACCACCTGACTGTTCTCAGGCCAAAGCGTCCCGTCGGCTAACTATAGCTCCACATACCACCGTGTTAAATCACTCAGATTTGTTTTTATATCAGCTTTTAGGTTCGTTGAAGTACTTTTCTACATTTGCTCGGAAGGACATTTAGAAGTGAAGTTACACTTGAATTTAATATTGACAGTGGTTCGATGTCGGCTTGGTGCAGACCGTGACGCAAGCTATTGCCACCTCGTAACTTCCGAGGCAGACAGTGTAAACTTTGTGACCCCCCCCCCCTCCCCCCCGGAAGAAGCTCTGGCGGCTTTCTTACCGCACCTTACAACAAAAGGTCGCACGCAATTCGCTCGCGTAAACGACCTCCCGGTGCGAAAAAATGTGAGTCGCCGATAAAGAGTTGAGCGCGACTCGCGTGCACCGTGTTCTTGTATCCAAGTCTTTCTCGCAGAAACGCGAGCGAAAGCTGCATATAGACACGTCGTAGCGTTAGTCGGTGATGCCAATCTCGGCCTTGCGGCACACTTCATCCATGCAACGTGAATATCAAGCGTACCACAGCGGTGGCAACGTCGACCGTGAGACTCTCGCCACCTTCCCTCTCTTTCGCTTTCCACTTCATTTCTTTCTCTCTACCCGACTTTCACTTCGAGAACGCCGCTGTGAAATATATCGAGGGTGAAGTCAATCGCGCTAAGGCAACTCTGCGAATTGTATGCACAGGCGAAGGTGTGAGGCATAAGTGAACCGGTTAAGATCTCCAACTCGGATATTCAGCACTGCGCCGTGCACTGCGCAATTTATGTACTGTTTGTTGATTTGCTCGCTTGTTTAGCTGTTTATTTTTTGTCTCAGTCTGATCTTTCTTTATCTCTCTTGCAGCAGTCATTACACTGCATATATGTAACGGATGAATACGTACGCGACATTGATCTCAGGGCAGAGCAGTTTTTAAGCAGCCTTGTCAAATCCTTCAGTGCATGTTCTTTTTTTTTTTTTCAGCAGAGGTACGGGATCCGAGTATACGTTTTTATTGAAGGCTACGAGATCAACCGCTGTGGCATAGATAGTACAAAGAGGTGTTCTGCGAAGCATGTGCTAAGCCTCAAGTCACAATGAGCACGTCAATGCGTGTATCGTACGCGTGTACATATACAAATAACTAAGGAAAACCAGCCGCCTGCATCGGTTGTAGTGTACACGATTGTAACCCGAATACCATGTCCCTTCCACTATGTTTTCGATGAAGGCGAAAATGCTGTAAGCCCGTGTGCTTAGGTTTGGGTACACGGTAAAGAACCCCAAGTGGTCAAAATTTCCGGAGCCTTCCACTACGGCGTTTCTCATAACCATATGGTGGTTTCGGGACGTTAAAATCCACATGTCAGTCAATTCACTATGTCTTCTAAGATATAGAGGAAGCGCTGTTCCTCCACTGCGGCGTTTCTCATAACCATATGGTGGTTTTGGGACGTTAAAATCCACATGTCAGTCAATTCACTATGTCTTCTAAGATATAGAGGAAGCGCTGTTCCTACTCTTGATGGGCATTAATATGCGCTCTGAAAGCGCCGAGCACTGGCGCTATAGATCCAACGAATGCGATGTCTGACCGCCTGGAAACGCATTCAAATGATGCCCTGCACTCTGGCACATTCCAGCTAAAGAAGGCAATGCTTATCGCCTCAAAGAAGAAACCATATAGTGCTAAAACAGAAAACTGGGCCAGTTGATTTGGTTAATTCGATATTTCAGTGTCGCTACAAAGCGAGCACTATCCACGAAGACTATAATCTACATCAAATAAGAATAAACTCAATTAGTGCAATGTTCGCTCCTGAGGTGCGTTTATATATAGTTTGGATAGCGATGTTTAGTAACAGCAACTTCCGCATCGCAATCTGTTTGAAACCTTACCGCTAGCAACGTACCCTCAAACTGACAGCAACCAAAAGGATGCTCCAAAATAAAATGTACGCCTATACCTAACCTCTCCTCCGCGTGTAGCGCTATCTACGCGCGAATATTTACGCACGCGTCACAGCACAACAGCCTCGGCGTCACTGCATGGTTCGCTCGCGTGTACATGCGCGAACTTAAAAAAAAAAAATGTGAAGCTGGCTGTTTCTCTCACTCGTTCAGTTCTTTTCCCCAACAACTGGCGCATTATTTCTGGAAAAAAGTTTTTTTTTTTACTTTGTTTAGTTCAAAAGAATGAGACGGAGCCGCATCGTTCCGGAGATGTGTTTCATGTTCAGCTAGGAAAGCTGTAAAAGCCTCCTTCGAACAGCTGGCAAGGTGTGAACGGGCGCGAAGAGCTGCGTGCGTGTATAGCACTCGCCTTTCGTGCTAGAATTGCGGGCGTTCAATAAAGCCGCAGGCAGTGATGAGATGCGGCTTCAATTCACGAAGCGTCGCACAGACGTTCTGTCCAAGTATCGAGTCTGCGCACAACATTAAGCACCGCTCATGCTACTGTCAACCTGCAGTGAACCATTGTGTCGAAGTGAATACGCTGGCACGTCAATACCATGTCGAACCTCCAACTCCCCTTTCTGAATACGCGAATACTGGCGAATAGTTTTTACGCACAACAGGCTTCGAAAACGTGGGCTTCGTGTTAACAGTTGACGGTGTATAGGATACATTAGAAGAGCGGTTTTTTTTTTTCGAATACAGGAACTGGTCATTTGTGACACGGAAATGATTGTTATTCGAAATGGGCTTGTCAATGATGACCACTACTTAAAAAACAAACAACTGCGCGAATCGGGCATTACCTTGTGCATCGAGGGCTGCAGATTGCATGTCAGAAAATGAAATTGAGCAAAACAAGAAAGATAAAACAATAGTAGTGCACCCCACATAGACGGCTTGCGCTCAAAGCGCTAAGCGGATGTGCGGTAAAAAGGCAGATGTACAAAAGAAGAAGAAAACAAAGAAAGTCTGCGGAGCGAACGGGAAAGTCATTCTTCAACGAGTTGTTCGGCAAGAATAATTAGAGCACGAACAGCTGCGCGCCTTGAACATCTCCGCATTCCGCGTTCGTGACTGTGGGCTGCCCGCGCCGCTTTCGCTGGAAGATTATTTCCAGACTGCCAGGACGGCCCGACGAGGCGCCCGAGAAATCAATTTTTAAGCATCCAAAAGCACCGCACGTAGGTGATGGGTGTACGAAGGCCATAAGATAGCCGATGTATCAAGTTCCGCAGCTAAAAATTCCCACCAGCGCGATACTCGAGTTCACACAGTTAAGCACAGAGTGGTTAAGCATACAGTCATTACGGAACATTGGCCTGAAGTCCGGTAGGGTAAGCGACAACTATAGTGTTGTTGTCGTATCATCGTTTGGTAAATGAATTTTCTTGCGTTCGATCGCCTTTAAAAGACGTTTAGCCCATCTTGCCTCACTCAAATAATAAAAAAGAAACGATTTTCAGTAATCGGGGAATCCCGAAATTATTGCTATTTTACGTCTGTATCATAGGCGAATCAATAAATCTAATCGACTGTCGGTGCATGATCCTGCGACCGTTGGTTCATTCACAACTCTCTCAGTTTCATGCGCATTCAAGGGCGAACGCAAGCTCTGAACTTATCATTGCTCACCCAGCTACTATCTTACTGGGTCAGTCCTCTGGACCACATCGCATCCATACCTAACCGCAAAAGCTTTCGTGCTATAATGTGATCAATTTCCTTGATAATATTGCATAATGATCTTCTACTATACTAGTTATCAACTTTTGCTTTGGTATACCCTTTAATTCATTGCCGACTTTTTTTTTCTTGTCAAAATGGTTGATTTGGACGAGTTGGTGATTCAAGCATGGTGTGAAATGAATGTCTTGCCCGATTTGAAATGACTGTATGCATGGTTTGTGAAATAACGTGGTTTGAAAGGCCACGCTTGTCCGTGTCTTTCTTGTCTCTGCAGGTCTACATATGGCGCTCGTATTTAAAACCATTTTTCACCCTGTTAGCCCTCGTACTGAAACGTTTCTAAGTGGGCGTGTAAGGAATTGTGAATAATAAAAAAAATATCGAGGTTTTTTATGCATTCCCCTAAGACAATGCATAGGCATGCACAAGTTTATCCTGGGTGAAGGGGAGGAAGGTTCACCGCAGCGACCCCTCTCTCTACTATATCAATGTATGGCGCGCCCCTCTCCTCTTAGGTGACTAGGAGAACGGCTCCCCCCACCCCCCTCCCGGGCACACACCTATGCCCAAGACGTCTCAAACGCGAAAGCCACCTACTCAGTCGACGCATTGATCCACTACCCCAACTTGAAAGCTTTCTGTACCTAAAGGCCTGACCGCACGTACCCACTGCATGCGCATGTACTTTTGGCAGCGCTTGGCTTTTTGACGCGGCGCCGACCCTCTCCCAAAGAGGGGGCGCTTGTGGTACGTAAAACTGCGCACTCTCTCCATAGGGAAAGGACGGCGTTAAAAAGCCACGCGCCGACGCGCTGTAACGCGTGCGTGTGGTCATGGAGGTGTTTTCGCACTGCCTCCAGGATTGGTGGCGTTGCAAGCTTTGGCACCATGCATGGTTTTGCACTGCCTCCGCGATCGACCGACATCTCAGCAGGTGACGCTGACATAGGATGACTTCACCACATGATGTCATGACGACGATACAGTGTTGTGCTAATCTGTGCCGACATCACGATGTCATATGGTTTCGTGATCACGTGATGATCATGACATCACTAGTGTTGACGCTGACGCCGCGAAGCGCCGATACCGCCATTCTGTTTTTCCTGTTTGATGGGGCATCTAAGGCGTTCGCCTTAGAATAGAACTTAAAGTTATTGACTGACAGGCTACGCTCGAGCTAGTCGCATGCTTCAGCCGCGTGCTTACCCCAAGAACAGCGTGTGGAAGACGAACATGAAGAGCGAGGACATGACGCGCACCATTGCGGCCATGCTGGGGATGCCGTAGAAGCAGGCGTCCAGCAGCACGCCCAGGTCGGAGGCGGCCCGTGACATGTGGTACACCTCGTCGCCCAGGAAGAACACAGTCTCCCATCGCAGCAGGCTCATGGCCGATGCTGGAGGGGCATTGGGGCCCTGCGGGAAGATATATGGCGGTTTTATCCAGATGTCAGGACAATATCCGTGGTAGGATAACTAGATACCAGCGTTCCTTCTTGCAGGTTAGTGACACGCGCCACCATACTGTGTCGGAACCAATAAAGAAAGGAAAAAAAAGGCACCATATCCACGGAGTGAATGATGGAGAGTGGGGCAAAGTATTTGTCCGTCCATTCGTTCTTGCTTCCGTCCGTCCATGCGTCCGTCTGTGTGACCGTCCGTGCGTCCATCCGCCCGTCCGTGCGTGCGTCTGTTCATGCGTCGGTCCCTGCGTTCGTCCATGCATCCGCCCCTGCGTCCGTTCATGCGTCCATCCATGCATCTGTCTGTGTGTCCGTTCGTCCATCTATTCAACACTCCAAGTACCATCATCTCGCATGTTTTCATTATACATTCCCCATATAAAAGCACCGCCATCCAGCGGACATTCCAAGGACTAAACGAGAAGTGGCACACGCACACCTTCTTACGCTTCCGGTCTACTTCCCACCTTTAACCACCTCGAGTTCATGGTATATACTAGTTCACAGTATTCATGGCACTGCGGCCCAACGCTCGCTAAACCTTTCCAAAACCAAGGAGGTTACGCCCAGCGAGTATAACGTAGCAACACTTTCTTGTCAGATAGTGCTCAATGTACATGCTAATGGGGACCGTAGCGTGCACGCTAACTAAAAGCCGAATGCTCCTGTCTCTCATTCTCCTTTAGCAGCCATTAGCATGTACATTGAGCACTATCTTTTATTGTTCAGACCTCCAAGGTGGTGCCGGTGAGAGAAGAAATCTCTCACCGGCACCACCTTGGAGGTCAAACTGTTATACTTGTTACACACTACAACGGCTACGAGGGACGAACGGGTGCCGCTATAAGGAACTTCGCCCCTAAAAAAAAGATCACAGCTTATTCACAGAGTGCATGATGATGACTGGGGAGAAACATTCATCAGTCCGTCCACACTTCCGTCCGTCCGGTCATTTTTGCTTCCATACATCCGTGCGTTCGTTCCTTCGTTCGTCCCTCCATCCACCCTTCCAAGTCCATCCGTCCACCCCTGAATCTGTCTGTCTGTTCATCCGTCCGTCCATTTAATGAACACTCCAAGTACCGCCATCTCGCATCTTTTCATGATATACTCATCATATAGAAGTACCGCCATCCAGCAGACTTTCCAAGGACTAAACGAGAGGTGGCACACGCGCACTCCCTTACGGCCTGCGCTTCCCAACTTTCACCGCCGCTAGTTCATGGCACTGCGGCCCAACCCTCACTAAACCTTGCTAAAACCAAGGATGTTACGTCCAGCGAGTTTAACGTGGCAACCTTTCCTGGTCAGATAGTGCTCAAAGTGCGTCCTTCTATTACAAGTTTTTTTTCTTTAGTAAGCATCTTATTCAAGGTAAACTTTATTGGAGATTAAGTCACTGATATTCGTCTCTGCAGGTTATTCTATCAGAAGCAACTATCTTTTTTATTTGTGATTAACGTGTGCGGGTTTCCTCCTACATTCACAAGAGTGCGAGCGCGCCGCTTCTCTTGTCCGGCCATGGAGGTGGTTAACTACTACTACTACTACTACTACTACTACTACTACTACTACTACTACTGCTACTACTTACTACATACATACATACATACATACATACACACACACACACACTCACATGCATACATACATACACACTCACATACATACATACATACATACATACATACATACATACATACATACATACATACATACATACATACATACATACATACATACATACATACATACATACATACATACATACATACATACATACATACATACATACATACATACATACGTGCATGCATACATACATTGCGGATGCACGACCCACGGCTTGAGGAGCTTCGCCCCTAAAACACCTGCGCGCATAGCGCAGCACAGTCACAGCGACAGCTGGACGAGCGGAATTTCTATAGAACCCGTTGTAGACTCTCCTGGGGCTGCTAATACAAACACACCTGCAAGGTATACCTACTATGGCATAAATCATAATTTTTGTCTCATTAGGAAGCACCCACAACGCCATTATTCGTCATTCTGCAGAGAAGCGAGGTACCCAGTACGTATCTGCCACGAATTTTGTGCCCTTTGTTGGTGCGGTGAACGATGACATTACAGCTGAGCCCTTCGCAATGGATTGGAAGCATTCAGTGACCCGGTCATTAAGCGATCTGTATTGTGCGATGTGTGGTCGCAAAATTTGCATTATCCGTCGCCTACTTGTAATTTTACTCTTCTGCCACGCTACATTACATATTAACATTGTTCGCTCCCGTCATAGCACCTGTTGGAGGACTTTGTTCGAAGAAGTTTCGGGCTCTGGCATGCTTCAGTGGTAGAATGCTAGGGTACACCACGGAGAAGGCCCAGGCTCGAACCATGTTTCATTCTGAATATTTTTTTTTATTTCGCACAACAGCGATTACAGACACCAGCGGCGGGTGCGGACAACAATACGGCTCCAAAACTGCCCTTGTTGGTATCTTAAAATAACTATCGCTGTAAAACGGGCCAAATTGTCAAAAAAACACAGCGAGACCCCATCGCACGCAACTGTGTCAGCGTCCACCGATGCTACGCATAATAGCGGTGATGCAGCCTATACGGGTTCTTTTCACCTATAGATCATTTTAAGAAATCGCAAAAGAACAAAAGGAATTGCTAGCTCAAGAAAGCCACGGTTCCTTTATGTTTTGAACCTCGTATTAATCTTTGATATTTTGTACTTTTTACATCCTATTTACTAATATTTCAATCTCCATTGATCACTATAATCTAATTTCTCCTGAAAAGCATGTCTGAGCTCTTCAAGGCGTTTTCTGTATTGATTCGATTGAACGCGCGATGTTGTATTGACACTACTCTAATGAGATCTCTATTATATGTATACTTTTGTGTGCTCTCTTCTCGCAGTTCCGCTTGATCACGGAGTCCGTTTAGAATAACATTCGAACGGTTCAGTTTTCTCCTTATTGTGGTTACTGCTGTGTTTCTGCTTTGCTGGGGGTGGCACGACCAAGTCGGGCAATCACTCATCATTTAGCTGTGTCCCCCAAGCGAATTTAGTGACAATTTCGGTTTACTACCTTGGGACCTTCCTCCTGCATACTTACTCACAATGTACAATTACGATACTATTAAAGAAACATTGATTGATTGGTTGGATTGATTGATTGATTGATTGATTGATTGATTGATTGAATAAACCATAACAAACGCGCACGACTTCGTGTTCATTCCACGCTCAATGATATTTTCCAAGCAAATAAATCAGCAATAGACCAGTAAGGAGAAATTTCATATATCTTATCTTATCATATCCTCTGTGACGACTAAAGAATTTTTTGCACCACGATGATTTGTGCCAACTAGGCGTCCAGAGATTCCCTTCACGCTAACTAACAAATTTTCTCCTAATCGCCCAATTTTTACTTGCTCTTAACTCCTTCCCCCCCCCCCTTGTTGTCATAACAGCCTTGTACTTTTCTGAAGCTTATCACAGTCATTATCACTGAAGCAGCACAGCCTTCCATAAAGCGCTCATTGTCACTTGCACTTGAAACACGTATTCGGCGGCGCACGTATTCAACGCACCAAGGCAGAAGACCTCGTTTGCATTCAAGCTCCGGAACGAAACTTAAATCGGCAGTGATTAGTCTGGTAATCCGATATCTCCGCTAGCCATTTTGTGTTCGCGTAAAAAGATTAAGTTGAATACATTCTCATTGAATATTGATCAGCCGCTTCACCTCAGGCAACCGAACGACACTGCACATTATATACAGGCAGTACAAAAGTTTTCCTGCCGAGGAATCATAGCTTCTAACGCTCTTCGAGCAATCAGATAGGTCATTGACCAACGACTCTTCAGCGTTGGCTGATAAATCTATAGAAACGTAAACAAGCCGTCCAGTTTTCGAGTTGCCGTCAACGTCATCGAAAGATTTTCCGTGACGTTGCTCTGATGCACTTCCTTCGCAAAATTTCTTTTTATTGCCTTTCCTGAATGATAACAGGTTCAGAAAAGGCAATAAATAAAATTTATGTAACCGGTCACTTCAGCGAGCGGTTCTTCCTCACACAACAAGGAAGTACAAAAAAAAAGAGAGAGAGAGAAAGACAGAGAGAAAGAGAGGTTGACCTTATTTTTAGACCTGAGGGTCACATGCGCTGATTTCTCGTAGGTATAGGGTACCCCCACCCGAGCGACTATGTATATACACGTTGTTTTGCTGAGCACCACGCCGTAAGCGTGCTTGCACCTATTTTACTAGCATACAGTTACCGAGTGGCAGCGATTCTTCGCCTCCAACAGCACGGGCGGATGATCGATTGCACGTACTACCGTTGTGATTGGTTGAGGTGTGGCCAGGGGCCTTTGCAGAAGAACTGCATGGTGTCACCTGAGTACCCAACAACAACTGAGTGTCAAGTCGTCGTACAGCTACGACGTGAAAAAAAAGAAATAAATAAAATGCTTGACGGTGGGAATCGAACCCATTATACGTACCGCATCGGCGTGCGTGCGTACGTTAAAAAAAAGCAATGAAATATCTCACTTCGATTGGTGTGTGACAGAAGGTGGGGAGCAAAGGTTCAAGAGACAAGTAAAGCAAGTAACAGAATAACAGGAAAAGGTGTATCTTTTCGTATAGATGAATAGCGTGAGCGAATTCAGCTGAGGCAGACACTCACCACAATTTCCGCTGGACTTGTCCGCAACCTCGACAGAGGCAACGCTTATCCGTTTTTCCTGATCAAGAACATTTGGACCAGGAATCTGCGTCACGTTTGGTCTTCATATTGCGCGTCACATTTGTCTGCAAGATAGCGGAGGAAGAAGCGCAGCGGTGAGATTTGGTCGAAACAAGACGAAGCACTGCCACTGTTAGAATCGCTAAAACTTCGCACACATATCTCACTGCCGCTCCCCTTTTCCCAAGCTCAGACATTCCTGACAATTATTGCCTTGGATGCACTACAGATCCATATCCTAACAACTGTTGCATTTCAAATTCAGCGGTGCACATTCTGCATCTGCAAAGTTGTTTTTTTTGTTTTTTGAAGACTCGAATTCGCATTATTTAAACTACATTTTCTCCTTCTCCCCCAATAGAGCTACGCTATCGCTTCCTTAGGCTAACAGTAATTCTACTCGCCTCCTCATTATTAGAAGCTCATTTTGTTCTAATGACCACTACGACATTGCCTCATTACGCTAACAGTCATCTGCCACCCCCATCAGTTAGTTGCTTGGCCCAAGTTTGTTGTGCCAAAGAATGTGTTAAGGAGTCGTGTGTTACAGTGAGCTGCAAAACGAATCACAGCACACCAGATGATTCATGGAGCTGCCAAAATGTCGTGATGTACTGCTTCTACTCCACCATCTTCTCTATAGAGTAACGTCATGGCACACTTGTATGGGCAGCAACGTTCGCACATTCTTGTACGAATACTTAACGCGCTTTGGCACGTGCCAGTATGTTCTATAGCGCTTCCAATCTCAGAAACCGTCAAGCGCTTAGTAAAAATGGCAATTCAAACAGAAAGATACCTGTTGCAAGTAAAGGAAGCTCGACTGGCAACTGGTAGCGACTCACCGAAGTCTCAAGCCGTGAAACGCCAGCAGCAAGATGTAGCGTACGAAGTTGGCGACGCGGTAGTCGTCCGTGCCACTGGCGAACACCACGCCGATGATCTGCAACGAGCAGCGAGGCAGGCGAGAAATGTCTCTCGGCACCATGGCTTAAAAGCAGCGTCAACAGGGCGAAAAGCCAGCGTGGTACACGCGCTAGCTCGCCGCAGAATACGAGAGGAGCAGCTGGGTTATTTTTAATGAAGCGTGAGAATTTGGAGGGTTCGTTTCTTTGTTTCACACACTGAACCTTAACGAAAGCAAGCAGATAATGAAGCCGAGAAAGGTGTAGGGGATGTTAATTGCGCTGCTTTTCTAAGAGTATTGCAGTAATTGTGATTTGTGATATATGCAGATCTGTGAGAACGGTGGAAGAAAAGACAACTTGCAGGGACCGAATCTGCAACCTTCGGATTGAGCTGCCGTAGATCAATTGGCGACAGCATCGTCCGCGGAGTCCGAAGGTCACAGACTCATCGCCTTGTGGCAAGTTGTCTTTCGTCCCCTTTGCTCTCTTCTCGTTCGTATCGCAATCACCGCAATACACTTAAAAACAGTACAATTAACGTCCCCTATCACTTACTTTGTTTCATCGTTTTCATTTTGAATTATATATAGTAGCACAACCAACTAGTTACTCTTTTGACCTCTTCAAATCACTTCCGGTAGAGCACTCCCGGTTTTTGGAGTATACGAAAAAGGTCGTGTAAAAGCAAAACTGGCACTATATCGATGGTTCTATATAAGTTGACAGGTATGTTGGACAGATGTGATATCAGAGCGTAAGCTTATTTTACATATATTTATTTATTTATTTATTTATTTATTTATTTATTTATTTATTTATTTATTTATTTATTTATTTGAATACTTTCCATGCCCGAAGGCTTTACAGAAAGGAGTGGGGGTTATACAACAAAAAGTAAGCGAAATGTTACAATTGCTGCAAAATGGAGAGTTTGAAGTTTGCAGGGTCGATGAGGGATGCGGTGGCAGTGGAAAGGCAGTTCCAGTCTTTGCTTGTTCTGGGAATGAAGGAATCACTGTAGTGGTTTGTTCGGCAAAATGGCACACCTACTTTAAAGCAATGATCGAAACGAGGTGAAATGTAAGAGGGGGAAGAGAGAAGGCTCTCTTTTAAGGATAGATTGTAATGATAAATTTTATGAAAAAGAGAGAGGCGAGAGCATTTTCGACGGAACGATAAGTCGGTTAGGTTCAGAGTTTTTTTCATGGCTGTGACGCTGACATGACGGGAATAATTGCACAAAATGAAACGGGCTGCACGGTTTTGAACGGCTTCTAGAGTGAGAGTTAGGGTTACTTGACCGGGATCCCAGATGGCGCATGCGTATTCCAGTTTAGAGCGTACTAACGTTTTGTAAAGGTTTAGTTTCACTGACATGGGTACGGAAGAAAAGTTTCGTCGCAAATATCCGAGCATGCGGTTAGCATTATTGGTGACGTATTCGACGATTTCCTGATTGTTAGTAATGTTAAGCCCAAGATATTTATACGAGTGCACTGAGGATAAGGGAGCATCATTAAGAAGATACATGCAAGTGTTAGAAGCTGAAGTTTTTCGAGATACACGCGTGCTTTTACATTTGGTTGAATTAAGTTTCATCCGCCAGTCACGACACCAAATAGACACGTTATCTAGGTCATTCTGAAGTCTGATAGAATCAGTTGGGTTAGTGATTTTGGAATACAGCACACAATCATCATATGGGCCAATGAACAGTCAGAATAATGAATAATAATTAGATGAATAAGGTCACTGAAAGAGCAGACGGTTTTATGGTCAGGAGCTGGAATACTGGCGGCATCTGGTGGGGAACATCTCAATCACGCACTTCTTTTCACGTGGCCTCTGAGATCCACTTCTTCAGTGCGATGAAACACTAAGTTAGCCCAAGCATCCGATGTGTGAGCGCCACTATAAGACAGCATCAAATTTTATTGAGAATACCTCCATAACATGTATATATCAACAAGTACAAGTATATAGCACACCTTGATAACGGCACAGACGGCGCAGTATATGTGGAAGACGGTGTCCAGCTGCTGCATGTCTGCCTCCATGGCCGCCATCTTGGTTCACTGAGGAGCGTTCAGCTGCTGTACGGTGATGTGCTGCTGGAAGAACCTGTAGCACATGCACGAAAACGAAGCAAAACGTCATTACACCTTACAGTGCACAGACTGTAATAAAAAAAAAACAGTGGTTTGAGAAAATCTCACGGGCTCAAAGAAAAAGGGGGGAGGAAATGTTCTCAGATCTTGCATAAAGTATTCGTTGTGCGGACTTTTTGCGCGACGCTCAATTCCCGTCAGCCATCAATTTTTCTGTAATGTGAACATGGCTCCCATGTTGATGCCGTGACGTCATGTATTTTAGTATTTTATTGCCAGCATCTCTTTATATTTAATACTCACTCACAGGTAGTTGTGATATGGCACGATCGTGTAGCTTATTTATTAAATGCAGCATCTATGAGCAACCCGTATGTCGTATCACATAAATGAGCAAATCGATGCAAGCGCATGAGCTGCCCCATTTAACATGCGGCATTACGCACCCCGGATCACGGGCTCCAGCTTTAACAAATCAGTTGACTTGTTAGTAGCGCAGTGCATGATGGTATAAACAGAAGTACACCTAACATCTGCAAATACTTTTGTGAGTCTACTTTTGACCAAGTGCAAGTATTGCTTTACCAGCATACATTAGTGAGCCGACAAGGTTTAAGCTTTCATCTAAATATGGCTTGCGCAAACCAAACAAAAATTCACAAGCTAATACCCTCACTCCACACGACCATCATCGTTGTCTGGGTGCAGCATGCTGTGCCGCCTGTCTGTCCCTCGTAGTGTCATGGGTCTGATTGCTGGCGGTCGCACGGCGATATAATTATAACTGCCGTGGAATGAAAGAAAAAAAAAACGCCCTTCTACACCGACATTTCTTAGCCTGATAAATGATTACGTGCCGTTAAAGTCAACTCTAAGCTTTACACACAGTACATCCAGAGAACGCCTACCACTGACCGTACATCGACCTCAAAGCGCGAACGCTGCAGCTTCGTGACGTCTGTGAATCCCCGTGATGCGTCACACTCCCGTAAAATGCACCCTATATTTACGTATAACTGTCGCACGATGATGTTGTTTACCGACGTATACCATTTGTACAGACAAACCAGGAACCGAGAATAAAAGAATAACTGCCAACGAGCAGACAACCACACTTCAGCAGCAACAAGAATGCAAAACAAAGGGCAGAAAAGAACAGAAAGTGCTGCAGATGGAATATTTTCACAAAAGGAAACAGCGACTCCATAGCGACAAATAATCCAATGAAGGGTGTTCCTGTCAGGTGCGCAGCACGCCGTGTGAGTGACGTTCTTCATGAATGAAGGATGCGCCGGCACTAAAAGAAGACGCAGTTGAAGTAGTACCATGGCCGCTGAATGAAAGAGCGAGCGCTTTCATCCAGCGGTCGTGGTAGTACCAACTTTATCATCAGCCTTTACATTTTTTTCTTGTTCTACTTCTTCATAAAAGATTAGCCGACGTGTAGGTTACTATCAGCTTCAAGAAGTTCCGAGGAACGCCTGGGCACCACTCAAGAGGATTTCTTGCCACTTGGAGGTGCCAAAGGACTTCAGAAAGCTCGTCACCCCTAGGACGCTCACCAAACGCTGACCTGGGGAGCCGCCGGCAGCTGCACCGACGCTGGGGACGCCCGCGTCGGAGCTTCATCCAGCTATGGCTCTCAACGCGGCGACCGACCAACAATACCACCTCCTAGACCAGGATGGTACAGCAGACGACCAAATGGATCAACTCCAGGGCGACCACGATACGGTGAGCCGAGACGCTATCGGCGCTCAATCGCATGCAGAAGAGGACGCTAGCTGGCAGGCAGCGAAATCCACCAAAAAACGCAAGCAAGAGGCACTGGAGCGGAGGCGCGGCAGCGCAGGGCTCCAGGACCAAGTTAAGACAGGCACGCCAACATTCAAGAAATTGCCAAAGCTACCGCCGTTGCCGAAGGACGATTACAAGATCGTCATTCGTCCAACCAGGGCCTCCCGCTGAGAAACATTCTGACTCCTACGCTTGCGCAAGCAATCATCGAGGCATGCCAAGCTGGCATCAGAGATGACCATTTCATCCTTAGAATCAACCCAGGGTCAAACATAGCGATTCTGTCGACCAAATATGAGGAAGTGGCGGACAAAGTGCGTCTGATACGCGCCCTTGTGCTTAACGGCAGGGCTCACGCTGTCCGTGCCTACGCCGCAAATGGAGACGATACTCTGAGAGGGGTGATTCACGGCGTACCGATGAACACCTCAACCGAAACTCTCATGGCGCACCTACGTGTCAGAACGCACGGTGTGGAGATCATCACTGCCAGAATGATAGGCACAACGAAAAGCGCAGCCATTACATTTTTCGGTCCAACGCTACCTCGTACCGTCTACTATTACGGGGGTGAACTCCGCTGCTACCCCTTCCGACCTACGATTCAAGTCTGCAAGGTCTGCCGAGAAAAAGGACACCGCGCGGACGTTTGCCCGCATCCGGATCGCCCCATTTGCCGGCTGTGCGGACTGACTAATCCAACGGATGGACATCCGTGTTCTATTAGTTGCGCCTCGTGCGGGGAGGCTCACCCACAGGAGATCCAACTTGCAAAAAAAGACTTAAGCCGCCGAAGCCTAAACAGCCGCAAGTACAAGCAGGCCACAGTGATAAGCTTCAACAGGGCACTAGCAACGACCCACCGAGGACCAAGAATCTCCGCTGGTTCTCCTCCGAAGAGGAAGAAAACGCCTACAAGTCAGCCGATGACAAGCACAGTTCCCGGTCGCATTCACGGTCCCCGGGCAGAAAGCCGCACTCGCATCCAAGAAGAGCGCGCCAGCACCGACTCAGCAGAACCTCCACCGCAGTCCTCCAGGAGGGGGAGCCAAAGGCAACGGCGGGGATCAAGGATGCACCCAACAGGCATCATCACTTCCGGTAAGCTGGGCGGAAGCCGTGGCTCCCAAGTCTGCATGTACTCCCCCCATCACACAAAACGTACACTATCAAGCAGTAATCGCTGAAAACAAACAGCTTAAGCAACGCCTTGACAAATACGAGAACAAAATAATGTGGCTCGAAAAACAGCTGGCCCAATTAATGGGAGCCACCCCGAAAACTACAGTCCAGGCCTCTCAAAATCTAACTAGCCACCCAAGCGAAAAGCTACGGGACAATGGGCACATCCAACCGCAATCGACACCACCACGAGATCCTGTAGCCAATATAGGAACAGAACAAACAGCGACAAACCTCACTTTACAACAACAACTGCAGCTAATGCAACAGCACATACTGCAGCAAACAGAAGCCCAAATGAAACAGTTCTTTGTCGAATTTCATGACCTGAAGCGATACGTTCATGAAAGCCTCGACAAAGAAACGAAGCGTCGACGTAAGCAGAGCCAACCGCGGTCCCAGGAGTCCGACGCCAAAAGCATGCTTACCTCGGACGCTGAAAGCACACTCACCTCCTCGCATCATGGCAATTAACCGACGCATAGCAAACGAGAATCTCACTATATGGTCCTGGAACTGTCGTTCCCTGCACAACAAGCACGCTACACTCACTCTATACATAAAGGCGGCGCTGGTTCCTCCTGACGTAATCTGCTTGCAAGAGGTGGGAGCCAGGCCTAAAACAGTTTCTGGCTACAAACTATACATGGATCCAAATACACCTAAGATTGCGACACTCGTCCGGAAAGAATTGGCAGCTACATGCATAACGGCACCGAACGAAGAGACGCAACACCTTATCGTAACGCTCTGGCCAGCGAAGAAAGGACGCCCGAGGCAGGTTATATGTAACATATACAGTTCCCCACAAGACAGAAAAGCAGAATTCAGCAATATCTTCCACTATTTGAACAACAAGCTTCAACCACGCGACCGCTTGATCATCACTGGGGACTTCAACGCTTGGCACACCACATGGGGTTATAGCGCAGACAGACCCAAAGGTACGCGACTTTTAGAAGCGATACAGCGCTACGACTACACACTCCTCACGACACCGGGCATACCGACTCGTATAGGAAACAGTGTCAATAGGGACACCACTCCCGACCTTACCGTAACCAACAATGCCGCGACCATGCGCTGGAGTGTGCTGGACGACAATCTGGGCAGCGATCACAATATTGTGCAAATAACATATGAAACAGCTCGACTGCGACGCCCGCTCGGAAAAGCCAGACTGACTAACTGGACTAAATATAGAGAGCAACAGGAAGTAGACGGGCCCAAGCCAACAACTATAGCCCAATGGACACCGTACATTAAGGGTCTCTATGACAAGAACACCAAGATATATCAAACAACTACCGACGCACCTGCCATTGACACCCACTTGACACATCTTTGGGAAGCTCGTCGAGGCCTCACGAAACGGTGGCGCCGACAAAAGCTAAATAAGAAACTCAGACTCCGTATAGCGAAAATCACGGAGGAAGTAAACGCATACTCAAAGGAACTTTACAACAACAACTGGCGCACCTTCTGCGATTCCTTAAAAGGCACATTAAGCACGAAAAAGACGTGGAACATCCTACGGAGTCTTTTGGATCCCTCTGAAACAAGAACCGAAACAAACGCTACCCTTCAACGGCTAGCTGGGGAATTTCAAGGTGATCCGGATCAGTTAATAGAAGAGCTGAAACAACGCTACACAGGAGAACGCAAGCGAAACGTTAGCCCAACACCCAGTCAAGAATACAATGGAGAACCCAACACTGAGCTCGACGCCCCCATAACCTTTGCTGAGGTTTATGCAGCGGCTCAAAGCTTCAAAAGAAATACAGCGCCCGGATTGGATGGCATTACAAATGCCATGGTACGGAACCTCAGCGATGAAGCATTACAAGCCATCACAGACCACTTTAATCAGGAAGTCTGGACACCGAGTGGAAAGATACCTGCAGAATGGACGCTGGCACAGGTTGTACTCATACCTAAACCAGGCAAACGGCGAAGCATTGATCAGCTACGACCAATTTCTTTAACGTCATGCATTGGCAAGCTCTTCGAAAAAGTTATACTCACTCGCCTTGACCAATACACAGAAGAACGGGGGCTTCTACCAACATCTATGTACGGATTTAGGCGAGGAGTGTCTACCCAGGATATCTTCTTACTGCTCAAAGAGGAAGTGCTTAACCCAGCGCCAGGTAGTCTCAACAATCTACTCGTTGCACTCGACATCGAAAAAGCATTTGATAATATTGCGCACTCTACCATACTAGACGGTCTTGCAGCCATAGGATGCGGACAACGCATATTCAACTATGCCTCTGATTTTCTTGGAAATCGCAAGGCGCAGATTGGCATAGCTGGTACCAAATCATCACCATACGACCTCCCACTGAAAGGCACACCTCAGGGCTCCATCTTGTCTCCATTTTTATTCAATATCGGCCTCCGGAAACTAGTCCTCCAGCTGGAGACTGTACCAAACCTGGGCTGTGCCTTTTACGCGGACGATATTACGCTATGGGCAACAAAGGGCTCCTATGGAGAACGACAAGATGTACTGCAAACCGCTATAGACATGATTCAAGGCTACCTCACTGCTGCAGGCATGTCGTGCGCACCTAGCAAATAGGAATATTTGCAAATAAGACCCCCACGCACTCGGTCCAACCGTGCACCCGCGCTGCAGCTAGAAATTGCCGGACAGATCATCAACAGGACCCCAGTAGCTCGAATATTAGGCATGCACGTGCAAGAAAACAACAGCGTAAAGACTGCAATAGGCAAACTCAAACACACCGTAAAGAGTATTGCATCCCTTATAGCTAGAATTGCGCGAAGTAATGATGGGATGACAGAGGCCGACACGGTACGCCTTGTACATGCCTTCGTTCTCAGCCGAGTCACGTTCGCTCTTCCCTTTCAATCAACACGCAAGCCCGAAATAGAGCAGATTGACAGACTCATCAGAATTGCGTACAAAGCAGCATTGCGACTTCCGAACAGCACAAGCACAGAAAAACTCATGGGACTCGGCATGCATAATACGTATGAAGAATTGGCCGCCGCCACGCTAATCGCACAGCGAGAACGACTCACCACTACGCTCCAGGGAAGAACACTGCTACAGAGGCTGGGATACCCTCTCACCCCTCAATATTGTGGCGATGAGACAGTCATTGTACCCAAGCAAATACGTGATCAAATAATCGTGGAACCAGTTCCAAAAAACATGCACCCGCTCTACAACAAAAAGCGCCGTCAAGCGCGAGCACGAAAACTCCTGCAGAGAAGTAGCGATACAGACGCTTACTTTACCGACGTCAGTCTTTATCCCGCGCCACCACAAGGCTCCAGAAAACAAGCATATGCATTGGCAGTGACTAACCAAAGCAAAGTCGTGGCCTGCACGTCCCTACGCACCAGATCAAGTGCCACCGCAGAGGCAGCAGCCATAGCCTTGGCAATCAGAGAAGCCGAAAGAAGGGGGCGCTCAGCGTATATTTTGACAGACTCACAAGCTGCATGTCGCTTATACCTTAGAGGCACACTTCCAAGGTGCGTCACTGATATTTTGGGGTCCATGTTGATGGAGGCACATGGCGTCACTTGGTGCCCAGGGCATGACGGCCTGGGGGGGAACGAGGAGGCAAACTGCGTAGCTCGCGGACTTACTGGCCGAGACGCAGGACTCTCCTCAGGACACCTCACAGGGCATCATGAAGAGCAAAGTGTAACAAGCAGGCAGATATTGGAAAACCAACGCCTTACCAGACGCACGTACGCCCCTCCACATCCGAACTTAAGCAGCCAACAAGCCCGGGATTGGCGCCGCCTCCAAACGAAAACATACCCCCACATATCAAAACTACACGCAATTTTTCCACAGATATACACAACAGGGGTATCCCCATGGTGTAGTAACCACACAGCCACACTTACACACATAACCTACCAATGTACCGAGCGGCCAGCCAATGCAGTATCTAGGTTGGTGCGCTCACTACAAACACTCACAACGTGGTCTTGGGAGGCACGGCTTTCCGAGCTGGCACTGGGGAGCCAACTGGTGACCCTAGACCAGGCCCGGCGAGCCGCTGTGGCCAGTGGGGCTCTACAAGAGGGCTCCACCCGGGATTAGTCACGTAATTTTAATTCTTCAATAAAGTTTATTCTCTCCCCCCGACGTGTACCTATTTTGAGCGTCTCCGCTATCGGTGAGTTTAAGAAGCGCTACTTTGGTTGCCTGCGCCCTTTGACTAACGCGATATCTCTTGACCCATGACCGAAGCGGAAAAACAAAAAAAAGGGGGGGGGGAGAAGGGGGAGAGAGATGGGATGTGAAAGTGTCGAGCGTCAGGCATGTCTGCACAGAGCTTAGCGCAGGTGTCCTCCAACATGACCCCCCCCCCTCCTTCTAGAGGGACATCTCTGCATGATAAAATCGGTTAGCCTCTGGTTTCAATAGTAAGCACGCCTTCAAGGGAGCAGTAACCTCATTGCCACAGGTTGGTGCTAATGGCATATCTTACTCTCCACAAATAGCCAGCGAGTAAGCACAATAAAAACGCCATCGCGCCGATAACACCATATCTACGATTCTAGGATGTGATAGCCTAAGGCTATGTGACCGTGACATCCGTCACCAAGCGAAATGATCACGTAGCGCATGCTTGTAAATTGACTTCACTTTCGAGTGTTTCTAGCTAACTCCCAGAGCATGGAAGCACCGTCGGCAGCTTGCATCAATGTACGGGCGTGTTTGTCTTAACCATTGCCACTATACCTGTTCCACCCTGCTCCTTGTGAGTAGAAGATTATTGCTATTCCAGCTCCTTTCATTTATATGTAACTGGCCCTTTACGTGTAACTTCTACTCTGCGCAGGCCGCGCCGGAATGTCCGACAACGTTCTCTCAATAGTTTTTAGACTCTTACGAAAGGTGGCGAGTTGGTTCTGTGACTAGAACGGCCACCAACAGTAACACTTATACATATAGAATCTACGATATCCTGTGGCTTATACTGGGCACGTTAAGAACCCCTGATAAGCGAAAATTTCCGGGACCCCCCACGCCGGCGTATCTCTCATAGTCTATGGTGGTTTTGCAGCATAAACCTCAAAAATTAAAAAAGAATCTTCCATACCACAAGTGTAAACGCCAAAGCGCATTTTACCGGTTGATCTGCTTTCTCGAATATTGACGATTGTGGTTGTCACTGTCATCGATCTTCAAGTTTTATTTATTAATTTTTTTTTCTGGGCACAAGTTCATTTAATAAATGATCATCCAACACAATTAGCATACGCCGTCGTGGGGCACTCTCTTTCTCGGCTGCTGACTCGCAGGTCGCGTGATCGAGTCCCGGCTGCGGCGGCTGCATTTTCGATGGAGGCAGAAATGCTGCAGGCCCCTGTGCTCAGATTTGGGTGCACGTTAAAAGCCCCAGATGGTCGAAATTGCCGGAGCCCTCCGCAATATATACGGCATCTATCATGATCATATGGTGTTTTTGGGACGTCAAACCCCGCATATCAATAAATCGGGTTCACTCTCTTTGGGCTTGAGTTCTGTATGATTCACCGTCATGACGCGTGACAACATATAGAACGCCAACGGTTATAATGCCAGTCCCCTGTGTAGACCAACAATAAAAGTCACAATCAAGAACACCAAATCAACTAAGGCGTAAGGAACACGCAAAACACGTGCACACAAAAGAGCTGCGCGTGCGTGTTGTGCACGTTTTGCATATGCATTATCTTTTTTGCCTTTGTCCAGTTTGCGATTCTCCAGCAGTTTCAATGGGTATATGGACTGCTGACCCGGAAATAGTGGGATGAAATTTCGCCGTGGCGGCTGCATTTTGATGGAGGTGAAATGCAATAAACCCGTGTGCTTATATTCAAGTGCACGTTAAAGAACTCCCAAGTGGTCGTAATTTGCGGAGCCCTCTACTACGACATCCCCCATAATAATATCGAGATTACGGGAGCCCGGACAATTATTACCGTTTAGCTGTTTCTATAACGGGTTCCCAGGGCGCCCACATCCCCAACTTAGGCGTAATGATGAGCAAGTGCAGCCGTCGCACCTCAGCTGGAGTGCGTGGAAGCAGAAAACGACGGCGCAGAATACCAGGCCGAAGATGTCGCCGGTGCTTCCGAAACCGTTGTTGAAGTAAATGATGAACTCGATGGCCGAGGTGACGGCGTACACGAAGTGGAACGCAGCGTCTAACAGGAACGTGAAGGTGTCCAGGTCCATGGCATGCCGCTGCAGAAGAACGAGGGAGATAGTGGTTAGAGGTAAATATGCTAACTTCTGGGAACCTTTTCGGGGAGCCCGTAAAATGCTCCCTTAAAGCGAGCGATTGAGTGAGCGAGTGAGTGAGTCCTGTAAGCTATTGTAACCTCATATAAAAAGCATTAAACAATTAGAAAACAAGTTTTCCGCTTATTCTGAACATTGCATTGAAATCTGCGCTTAGGAATAGGGCTCGGAAACTGGTTAACGACACTCTGCGTTTCAGATAATACTTTACTTTGCTACTAGGCAATGGTGACGTCAACAGAGCAACGGCCATCTGGGTGTACCCAGCAGGTTGCAAAACTTCATTAATTGCGGTCAATAGCGTGCCTAATAGCTTTACTCGATGTTTTTAAGGTAATCTCACATACCTTTCATATCGTAGCTTTAACACTAAGAACGCACACATGCGCCAACCAGCTTTTTTTTTTTTTTGTATGGACGACCCACATAGTCGATAATGATGAGCTCACACGTTTCCAACAACTGCTCAAAACTCACATGGTTGGCACGAGAACAGCGTACATTCTCGCAATTTTGAAATGTCGCACAACCAACGACCCCTGGATACGGTATAGTTTTCAAAAGCGGCGATAAGCAACGGGATAAGCGACACGACAATCAGCGCCCCGCCGCCTTTCTGAACACGTGATCACGCGGATGAGGCTGACAATGATGTGTATGCATTTTTCAGCAAACAGCGTAGCAGACTGTACCATAGAGCAATATTTTTATGTAATATGACTACACTCGCACACGAGTGTACTCAAGTGTGCTCTCCGCACTTGCGCATCATTCGTTACTTCTCACCTCTATTAGGCGCTATGATGCTAAGGGGTCAACGCTCGCACGATGCTAATGAATTTCAAAGATTTACCGAGGCATGACTTGGACTACTTTGACTCATGCCAGCCTCGAAGCGCTGGGCGCTGTTGCTAAGATAATAAATCGGTGTGCTCAGATATTATGTCGGCGTGCATGAACGGGTAACATATCGGTAACAGAACCCAAAAGCTGCGGGCACTATAGCGTCAATCAAACCGTTCCAGGATACGCTGCCGAGCTTCCGAGTTAGTTTTCACGAGGACTGTACAATCGTTAGTCGCACCTCCACGCTAAAAAAAGCGAATGGCGAAGACAACAAGGCGAGGCGGTGACGTGAATCGGAAGACGTTAAACTCGCGAATACCGCACGTGACATCGTCTCACCTACAACGAGGGAACCGCGGGTCAGATGCCGAATTTCGATGTACCCCAGGTCGCGTTCTGGCTCCGCCGGCCACCGCCGAACCGCATGCGATTCTTCAGTTCGTGCCGAAGAGCGCGAGCCCGACCTGACATCCTCTGGTGGCGGATAAGGCAAACAAACGTATTACTGGTGTTAATGTGTCGCTCCGCTCGTATAGACTGTAGTGGGTGCTTGTCGGTAGAAAAAAAAAGAAATAATAAAAAAATCTGGTGGTGCTGGTGGTGAAACTTTGTTACCGGAAAGGCCCCAAAGGACACCATACTGTTCATGAAGGTGTAGAGGGCACCACCCCCGTTTCACGATTCCTTGCCCTACAGAGAAAATTACGGCGAGCCAAGCTTGGCATATCCTTCCCCCCTCTTTTGTCTCCCCTCTCTCTTTTTTTCTCTCTCTTTCTGTGTTCTTTTTTTATGTCTTTATTTTTTGTTTCGAAAATTGTACTGCCGCACACTTTGAGGTCGATCCCCCGGGGTGGTTTGTGCCATTCTTCCGGGAATCATCATCATCATCAAGATTGGCATGTGTGCGCATCACTTCCTTTCTTTCTTTCTTCTTTCTTTCCTTTCTTCTTTTCTTTCTCGTTGCCCAATGTTCCTTCCTAACGGTTTCCTTCCTCCATGCCGGAAATAGACCCTTTTCATAATTGTAAAGATAGCTTTCCTGTGATACAGTTAGCCTAGCTTATTTGTGGCTAGCCTCACTACAAACAGCGTGTTAAAGCGAAGTTTGCTTGCGCTATATGAAGCAGAACATGCAGTCAGCTCATAATATAAATACGCATAATAGACAAACCTATAGTCTCCACTTGAAAGACGGCAGGTGGCGCCTTTGTTGGGCGAATATGCACCGCGAGGGAGCGCAGTTGCGGATTGTAAAAAGAGTCTATTGGACCTCCATTCAGGTGCTTAGCAGCGCGACACTTCTGCTTCTGCGGGTAACAACGGCAGTCATGCGTTCGCATCCAGAAAACAATAAATCATGGCAACGCGAAATGACGAGTCGTCTGTATATGAAAATTCAGATTGCAATATCATAAACGGCCGATCATCGACAAGGCCACGAATCGAAAAAGGCAACTATCACACAAAAACAACGCATGCGGAAACAGGCGTGCGACCGGCGCAGCTTCGATAACCATACTATCTGGGGTTTTACGTCCTACAACCACGACACTATTACGAGAGACGCCATAGTGGAGCGCTGCGGAAATTTCGACCATTTTGGTGTTCTTTGACGTATACACTGACAACGCGCAGCACGCGGGTCTCGACCATTTCGTTTCCACCAAAATGCGACTGCCGTGGCTGGAATCGAACCCGCAACCTTCTCGTCAGCAGCAGAGCACCGTAGCCTGCAATGATCCACCGTGACGGACAGGTGCAGCGTCGAGGACCGCATTTCTGTGTATAGTACATAAATGCGGCCTTTTCGCGTGTGACGCCACCAGCGAAGTCTGCTAATTGTATACAACTCCGTTTGAATAACCACCATCGAACGCTTCAATACCGCAGTGGTTCACAAGACAGTGCATGTGAATAAAGCAGCGAGCGTGCCCGGCACATGCATGCTAACAGTCGCTGGCTCTTTGTTTCGAGGATATGAAACGTCCAAGCAAAATTGAAAAAAAAAAATCGCACTTTAAAAACCACGGAAAGCGCACTAACGTTGGCGCAAGAAAAGCGCAAGAAACGAAAAAGTCTGCGCTGTGGCACTTATCTTAATTCCTACCATGCCAGACAGGAATTCAGGAACAGCCTCACTGAATACGAACGAATCAAATCGGCGTTTGACGTCAGAGTGCGAGCTTTGACTTGCACTTGTCGGCGATCTCCTTTGCGTCATGGCGGGAAAGGCGACGTCATTGGATGCTCCCTGAGTCGCACCATGCGAGTGCGGAAGAATAAATTGTTCGCACGGGGTCATCAGCCATGCTGTCTTGCTCTCTCGGTGCTGCTCTCGCAAACGTGCACTGACTTCGGCTTCATATCGCGCGACAGTTTGCCCTCACAGTCGCGGAGATGCTGGTCCCGTTCACAAGTATAGGAATGTGCGTAGTATGTTCTGTTTTTTTATATGTATGTATATATGCAGCATCCCTCTATTCGGATGCGAGCCGACAGACTTACGTACGCCAGGCACGTTCGACAAATTTCGGGGAGCTTCGCTGTCCGTACAAATAAATAAGCGAACAAACCTCTTCGCATATTTCCTTCTGTATCTCGCTATTTTAGGATGACAGATTCAAGTTACGTACCACTCTGTGTGGGTTCGAAAAGTATACAAGCTGACAATTTTCTAGAAAAAAAAAGTATAACGGACCCCGGGATAGTGCTTATCAAAACAGCTTTGACGCAAACAGATGTCTAGCTGATAAGTCCTCCAGTAAGCCTCCGGAAGTAACGACCTAGTTTGGTACGCTTACGGATATATAGGTTGTAATAGAACGAGGACGAAACATCGAACATAGAGCTAAGCGGCGCAATTTAGTCATCGCGCTGTTAACATTGCACGGCATAATTATGCGTGACATCTGCACCCACGAGCGAGCGATTTCCCTAATGTAAACGGGGTAATACAATCATACAATCATCGGCAGGAGTGCACGCTCGCGTCTATTCAGAAAACAATATATATATATATATATATATATATATATATATATATATATATATATATATATATATATATATATATATATATATATATATATATATATATATATATATATATTGCGAGCATGTCGCAAAACTCTGATGCTCATTGGCGCATCCAAGGCTTGATTGAAACCTCTATATCCTAAACCAATAATTTTTTTCTACCTCTTATGATAGTGAAACCTGAACAGGCGACATTGGGAGGAGGGAACGGTGGTCGCTGAGGGAAGCGGTTGTCGCGAACGTTGAAAATTTGGGGTCGTTCATAAATAGAAGAGTTCTTTAAAGTCAGTGTGTTAGAGTATAGCAATTTCTTGCATTCATTTACAGCCCTCAATGCAGTCTTAAAAGTGCCCCGCCGTGGTGGTCTAGTGGCTAAGGTACTCGGCCGCTGACCCGCAGGTCGCGGGATTGAATCCCGGCTGCGGCGGCTGCATTTCCGATGGAGGCGGAAATGTTGTAGGCCCGTGTACTCAGATTTGGGCGCACGTTAAAGAACCCCAGGTGGTCGAAATTTCCGGAGCCCTCCACTACGGCATCTCTCATAATCATATGGTGGTTTTGGGACGTTAAACCCCACAAATCAATCAATCAATCAACGACACAGCGCTTTCCAGGAACTGTTGTCGATTATGCTTAAACGCGGTGGCCAATTTTGCCGAGGAGGCGGCGCCCCCATGGAATTTCTTCGCTGGGTGACGCCGACGCTTCTGTACCCGTCGGAAAAAACTCGCTACTGACGCTTGCTATAAATACGAAGTGATCACTGATGACGAAGAGATCACTGATTAGTATGCTCGCCTTCACTGAAACGTATATTCGGAATCTGAAACAACCGCTTCCCGTTCCCAACTTCCTGTGGAAAAGTTAACGCTGTGACTGGGCCCAAAAACATTGGTGCATGCCAAATGGTTAAGAAATCCGGAACCCAACGGCATGCTTCGCAGTCGTCATGTTTTCGGCTCTTACGGCTCTAGAAATTCTTCTGTTTGCTCTCAAAAATAGAATATAGGGGTTGATGACCATGCTTAACATTGTTAATCATTTTACCTTTGAAT